CACAGTTTGTTTCTTTCCACTCTTTCAAAAGCTTTTTCCTGATCTATAAACACAATATTCTGTTTGGTATTATACTCAATGGCTTTCTCACACACTTGCCTCAGAGTGAATAATGCATCTGTGCATCCATGCATAGTACCTAAAAATGTCATTTCTGTCGTGGCTATTTTCCTTCTGTTTACTGAAGACAGTGTCTATGTTTGACATTGATATCACAGCGTTGGTTAGAATAGTGTGTTGAACAGTGTTAATTTAACGTTCATATTCACATGCTTGCATTTTCTTCTTCTTCGCGTTCACCAGCTGTAAACTCTGGCGGAAGGTTCTGGTTGCTCGTCCACTACTGAACTGCAGTCCTGCTCCAGAACCTGAGTGTTGCGTGTGCATCAGTTTTACATATCTCATTCTCTTGAATACAGACTGTTGGTACCTTGCCACTCCGGCAGATGCACTCCGACTTCAAAGGAAGCTCCCCAATTAGTCAACTCTTACGACATGATTTTGGGGAGGCAGTGGGTCTATTCTTGTTCCCCCCCCCCCCCCACAATGGGGCCCCAGAACCAACAGGGGGGAGGGGGGGGGGGCTTGCATTTTAAAACTAGTGCCATTTGGTCTAAAACTTAATTGGCTTTATTGCAACTTTGTTGGATTTCTTTATTAATTGTTCCGTCTTGTGAAAAAAAAAATGCTTCCCAAAAATCCTGGTGTTCATCACTTTTCATTTTGGTGGTTCTTCCTTTTCTGGAGAATGTCATCACTTCTGTTCTGTCTACATTGATCTTCATATCATAGTTGTCGCATTCTGAGTGGAGTCTATTAATATGTGCTTGCAGTTGTGCTGCTGTTGGTGCTATGATTGCCTGGTCATCGGCGAAAAGCAATTCATTTAGTAATTAGCAAATTTGGTCGACGAATGTGACAAAAGTATTGGAGATAGAAAGCACCCCTGTCTCACCCCAGATCTAATGTAGTACTTTTCTGACATTCCTGTATTTGTTGAAACTGCGCATTGAATGTTCACGTATGAAGTCTTGCACAATTTAATAAGTTGTTCGTTTACTCCATTGTCCTTTAGTACCTTTTATAATTTATCCCTCGATCGAAAGCTTTCTCCTTGTCTACGAATGAATGTATTTCTTTATCGAATTCTACTGTCTTTTTCACTAATTGTCAAAGTGTGAATACTTCTTCTTTCTTCATCTGCCTTTCTATCCCCCAATGGAGCATAGGCCCTCAACCAACTCACGCTAAGTCGTTCTATCCTTCGCCATTGCATGGAGCTCTCCCCATGTCCCCCCCCCCATCTTTAAAACTTCATTTTCTAGCTCTCTTCTCCGTGTGTTTTTGGCCTTTCCTTTATTCCTATGCCCCTGTGGGTTCCAATGCAAAGACATGCTAGTAATGCTGTTCTGTTTTCTCAGTGTGTGTCCTATCCAACGCCAGCGTCTTTTCCTCACCTCTTGGTCCACTGGAGCCTGTTTAGTTCTCTCCCAAAACTCTACATTAGTATTCTATCATACAATTTAATTCCCTCTATTCTGCGCAGGCACCAGTTAATTAATGTCTGTAATTTATAAGTAATTGCCTTAGTTGTTCAGAATGTTTCCGCCCCATAGAAGAAAGTGTGATTACTGCGTCAGTACAACTTCTGTTCTTCTGAAATCCCATTTGTCCTTCACTAAATTGCGGTTCGATGATAGGACGTAGCCTTTTTATCATTTTCTTTTTCCTTAAAAAACTAAAACAGTCTTAAAAAACAGGACCGTCTTAACAGTTGATGAGCCCCAGGAAAAACCAGTATCCCGGAGCTCATATCCCAAAACCACTCGTAGGAATTACACGTAAATGGTCCTTTATATTATAGTTGGTCACACTCTTAGTATACTTTTTTCCATAGCTAGGCGTGCACGCCATTTGAAGGTAACAGGTTCGATTCCCGGCACGGTAACTACAGCTTTTTTAATGTTGTCTAATGTCCTTAATCTTTTTACGTCTTTTTATGAGTGCCGTCCAAAAATATGTCAGTTTATTACGATATATACATATATATATATATATATATATATATATATATATATATATATATATATATATATATCTTCTTCTTCTTCTTCGCGTTCACCAGCTGTAAACTCTGGTGTAAAGTTCTGGTTGTTCGTCCACTTCTGGACTGCAGTCCTGTTCCAGAACCTGAGTGTTGCGTGTGCATCAGTTTTACAGATCTGATTCAATTGAATGCAGACTGCTGGTTCCTTGCCTCTCAGGCAGATGCACTCCGACTTCAAAGGAAGCTCCCCAGTTAGTCGACTCTTACGACATGCTTTTGGGGAGGCAGTGGGTCTTTTCTTGTTTTCCCCACAATAGGGCCCCGGAACCCACACGGGGGTATATATATATATATATATATATATATATATATATATATATATATATATATATATATATATATTTCTACGGCCTCAAGGGTTCCTTCCTCTAGTTATGGAAGAACTAAAAATTGCCACATTTAGCATCTTTTAGTTGCAGATTTAGCCTTAAATAGCAATGTTTGCTAGCAACCTGCAACACCTGCAGACCAGTGTTGCCACTTTGAATCTTTTATATCCAAATTTAGATCTTTTTCATTGCATTTAGATACTGTTTTTGACGTTTAGATCGTAAATGTTTTTCTAGATTCCTTTTATATGGAGTTAGATATTTTATAGATTTTTTTTCTTTCATTGTCAATTTAACAATTACTGTGTAAAATATTTACTACAATATTTTTGTTTTGGTCTGGCAGGTACATTGTAACAATTGCCATTACTTGAACTTTGAACTCTCACTGGGGTCAACGCACAAATATCTGGCAGCCCAGGTAGTGATTAATAAAAACGCGCGTAAATCATACTAACTTTATTTCAACCGTATCATCACTGTGCTGACTTTGCGTTTCTTTTTCATGTGATTTAAAAAAAAAATTGCTCACCTTCTTATGTGGCTTTCACTTTGAAAAAACCTTTCAACATGCCAAAAGTAAAGTATGAGCAAAAAATTTGGAAAGAGTGGTTGCATGATGACAAAATTAAAAACTAGGGATATGACCAAAGCTTGTAAGTACTGCAAGTGTGAAATTAAAGCGAAAATACAAAACTCAAAGAGTCATGCAGAGACTGAAAAAGCATAAAACTGCAGTTTCATTTAAAGGTATTACACCGCTGACAACTGTTTTCAGAACTATACTGATAAATGAATCATCAAAAGTTGAAGCATCAGTGGCAATGTTTTTAATTTGTCACTGCGCAATTTCAAACTGTGACCATTGGATCGATTTGTAAAAAATCTTGGACTAGTTCAATTTGAAAAGAGTGATGTAGAAAGTATAGTTTAGGAACTGAAGGACCTTTTAATCAGCAAACAGTTAGGCTTGAAGAATTTGGCTGTAATTGGTACTGATAATGCCTCAGTGATGGTTGGTATAAACAATGGCGTTTATGCCAAGTTGAAGGAAGCTAACCACTCGTTAATACTTATAAAATGTATGCGTCATTCATTGCAGCTAGCATTATCACATGCTTTATCTAAATATTTACCAAGAAATTTGTAATACCTTATTGCTGAAACACTTTACTGGTTTTCCAAATTATTTGTCAGACAACAGCAATACAATACATTATATACAGCCTTGAATGATGGTTCCACACCACTGAAAATTCTGTCCGATTGCAAAACTAGATGGTTATCAATTTAACCAGCGGTTGAAAGAATTATAAAGCAATGGCTGAAGTTGAAGACACACTTTGAAATAACAAGACAAAGTGAAAAGTGCTACACAGCTGAAATACTATATGAAATGTACAGTGATGAAAATAATTTGTCATTCATTCTCTTTTTATAACCTATTCTAATGGAAGTGCAAAAAGTTAATAAACTGTTCGAATCTAAACTTGTTGATAAAGTTAAATTACTAAATGATCTCACCTTGCTATTTCACTCGGTAAAAGACTGGTGTTGCCAACTTCTAAAGCTGATTTGCTCACTTGCACTATAGAGAGCTATTTGGCTCCTAAGCCACACCTTGGATATTAAATCGAATCAAAAATTATGATTTAAAAACAAAAGGACTGTTATCAGAGAATGAAAAGAACAACTTAAGAAAACGCTGTCAAGATTTCCTTATCTCATTATTAAAGCAATTGAAGCAGAGACTTCCTGAAAATCTAGATGTTTTGAAAAATATTTCACTTTTTTCTGTGAGCAACATACTTCAGCCAATAAAGGAATTACCAAAATATTGTAAAGTTATGAAATTTGTAGGGGCTACTGATAATAGTGTCGCGGAAGCAGAATATCAGTTAACCAAATTAAAGTTAGCTGAATGCACAAACAAAACAGAAACTAAAGCGTTTTGGATTGAAGTGAGACAATTTAAAGATGCCTCATCAAACAGTCCATTATGTAAGCTCTTTAAATTGCCATGTCTGCTATGATACTACCCAACTCAAATGCTGACGTAGAAAGAGTTTTCAGTGCTAGAAATTATATCAAATCTAACCTAAAAAAACAGGATGAAATTTGACCTCTTAAATGCTATCGTGCCATTAAAATTCGGCCTGATGAGACTAGAGAAAAAAGCCTACTGTTCCACTTATAAAGAAATTGGAACAGCTAAAGCATACCAGGGTCATTTTGGATCTGAAGCTTCAACTTCATTATCCAAGCTAAGTTTATCCTGTGTATCTTGTGAGACAGACATCAGTGAAGGTGAGGACATGATTATGTAGGGTAAGTCATAACAAAATCTATGTAATTTTTGACTTTTTCAATTTGGATGTTTTTTGACACCGTTTTGGATATTTTTTGTCAAAGAAAAGTGGCAACACTGCTGCAGACGAGAGAAACCAGAATCCGGGGTTTATACATGGCGGTTTTCTAGTTCGCCTCTTTTCTTGGACCATTGTGTTTGTTTTTATCCTCCCAGGCTGGTAGAGAGCTTATTTATTATTCGCTCCAGACTTGCTATGTCTAACAACCCTGCAGCTGAAGCTCAAGCACCACAGGATATACAAGGAGATGGCAGATGGATGAGTCTGGTAAAGTAACTTAGTGACACACAGTGACACCCAATCTTGGGTTTAGTTTGTGAGAATTGTTAGACTGAGTCAAACATACATTTTTTTTTTTAAATAAATAAGTAATTTAACCTTTTCAAGATGGAGCCTTTTTGGAGTTTCGGTGCCAAAAAGACGGAGCCTTCAAGAGGAGATTCTCATAGTTTATACACAATTATAAAAAATAAAGTCTTTAATTAAATTAACATATATAAAAATTAAAACAATACATATTATTCATGTAGTAAATGAAGGAACTAACAGAATATTTATAAATCAAACTGAAATCTCAACATTTATTCAGATTAACTATTCTGATTTGCATAATTTATGCAAGCAATTTTTTTAACTTGGGAACAAACATAACTAACCTGAAAAAGGCTCTCCTTTAAATAATGGTCGCTAGCTGGAAGGTGACGGTCGCTTAGTCGGAGTTCACTCCCTTGGCTGCAGTACAAATACGGAGTGGTACAGAGGGAACGAAACAAATGATATAGTTACCTGTCATCCTAGAGTTAGGATTTGGGGTAGGGTTAGGGTTAGGGTGACACATCACTGACACAATGGAAGCTTATCGCTCATTACGACATACAGATCCGCAGGTCTCACATCTACGGTCACTAAGTCGTGGTCAGAAGAACGCGTTTGCTACTGTCAGTCACAGCGCGTGGTCTAGCTCTAGCAGGCATGTCGACCTCACTTTGTATTTTGATTCATGACTTGTCCGCTCCGTATTTGCACTGCAGCCAAGGGAGTGAACTCCGACTAAGCGGCCGTCGCCTTCCAGCTAGCGACCGTTATTTAAAGGAGAGCCCTGAAAAATGTGGGTGCATTTTTTTTAATGGATGAAACTTGAATAAGTCCTAACACCTGTATTTTGGGAAGTAAGGCCTTTGGAGGCCCTTCAGACACGTCTGGCACATGGTTTTACTCTTTTTCCTGCCTCCAGCCATGTTTCAGTTGCTATGAAGCAACAGTCTTTTTCACCATTTTTTAGCACAGGTAACCGCAGAAAAAAAAATTGATGTAAAATTACAGAACACATCAAACTTTCTCGAAAACCGTCACTGAAAAGCTTACATGTGCAAGAAATGCGAGAAGCAGTCTGATTAGCTGTTTTGAAAACCTGCCAGCAAATATCAAGACTTCTTTTATATAGGGCCGACCGATCGACACAGTCATCCTTTGGCTACTTTGTGTTTAGCCGATATTTCGGCAGCGGTGTCTCCAAAGGGTTAATAGTGTAATTATTATTATACTGCGATTTCTGCTGCTTTGTAGCTATTTAAGGCTCTGCAGGTGTTACAGCGCTAATCAATTAGTGGCTGCTGTCAACCTACAGCACCTAACTAGTGTTAACATGTAAACTGCTACACATAGGTGCTGGAACCTCAAGGTTCTGGCAATTTGAGGCTCCCTCCCAATAACTGTTGTCGAGCAGAGCGCCTCCACCCTTCCGCCATAATAGAAATTCTCATTTTAACTCTTTGAGTCCCAGGGAATTTAGCATCAGATGCCCAAGGGGTGGTAATGCAATTTTTTTATTTCACAAGTGTAACACATTAAAACAGACCATACTAATTCAGTTACCGCACAACATACACGTATTATACATCAAAGTGACTAGGGATTGTTGAGGAATAACTATACAATATAGCTGCAACAAATAATTGCTTTAGTAATTAAATATTACTACATAAACAGACGTTATGTTTACAAAAATTAGTAAAATGAAATAAAAACATTTCCACTTACCACCATGGCAATCAAGGAAAACTGGTTAAAATGTATCCAAAATGCATCACAAATGAATATGAACCGCTTAGTAATGTTTAAGTAAAATATAAACTCAATCTATACATTAGATTTTGTTCCAAAGAATCTTTTGAAGCACCATTATTTGGTAAAGAGAACTGATTCCCAAAACAATAAGTATCTTCACACAAAACAAAGTTAACATAACACTCACTTTACCTGTGATTTTGTAGCTATGTTCCTAGATAATAATAAGGTGAATAGCATTAGAACTAACTGAACTGAAGCAAATCGTTGTTTCACTAATGTTTATTCTATTTGTGCCCGCTGACTTTGCTATCTTTGTGCCCTTGAGGTACACATTAGACATTTCCCTCTTCAAGGTTTGACTCCATAAATGACTGAAACATTTCTAATTCACAACGTTGTCTATCTAACTTCGGATAAATTGAATAAACACATACATTATTTAAATTTGAGGCTTCTAAAGCCGTAAATCATGTTGGCATGCATGTAGAATATTGCTTGGCGGCCATATTCTTTTCAAACAAACACTTTTTAACTCAGCAAATCTCGCAAATATACTACATTTTCGTCTTTCAAACCACGTTTTTAAATGAGTACGCCTGATATCAGACACAAAGAACGCGAAAGGAAGTTGAAATTGAGCGGTCCGAGTTTTACAACCAGTCAGTGGTAGATTAAAAACCTTCACTTGTCATGCGTTGATTGGGCCGGGCGGTTAAACAAATTAGCGCATGATGCGTTTCCTGGGACTCAGAGAGTTAAGCATGTATTTATACATTAAATTTTGGGCTATTCAGAACATAATACTAATCATAGGATTGCTATTGGATTCTGATGCGGAAGTTTATGAGACTATTTTGTTTTGGCTGTGCAGTGGACACATTGCGACCCTGAAAATAAGGCCGCATTGATTCTCATTGAGAAAGTATTAACTCATAAAGTTCTTACTGAAAGCGAGTTGGCAGCCATCTTTATATGTAAATTGGTCATGTCACCTTGTATCAGCACAATTTTGTGATTCTTATGTCTGCCTCTTCAGCCTGCCTAATACGGTATACATCTAACCAGGCTCATTGGTAGATATTTATAGGTTTATACAGTGTTTACTTACAAAATAGTGAGCTAGCAGCCATTTTTATATACATGGTAATTAGGTCTGTATTGCATTATATGTATTTAAAAAATGCATGTACAGTTAACCTTTTAAAATCCAAATTTATAGCTCTGCCAAATAAACCAGGCACTTTAAAATGTGGAGATCTTCGCACAATAAGTCTTATGAGTCACATGACTAAGATTTTACTGAGAATAATTATGAGAAGAATAAGAAACAAAATTAAACCAGAAATCAGCGATGAACAATGTGGATTTGTAGAAGGAAAGAAGGAAAAGGTACAAACAGTGCCAAGTACATCCTAAGGACACTGTCAAAAAGAGCTAAAGAAGTAAAGACTGATTTGTACTTATGCTTTAGAGACTATACAAAAGCATTTGACTGTGTGAAACATGAAGTAATCAAACTGTTAGAAAAATTAAATATTGATGGAAAAGATCTACGAATAATAAAGAATATGTATTGGCAGCAAGCAGCAGCTATAAGAATTAACAACTGTTTAGGTACATTTCAGAGCATAAAGAGGCGCTTACGACAAGGATGTGTACTGTCATCTGATTTATTTTCACTATACAGTGAATATATAATGAGATCTTCAATTGCTATGCCGGGAATTGTGGTTGTTGGGCACAATATAAACAATTTACATTATGCTGATGACACAGTCTGGATAGCAACAAGTCAGAAAGAACTACAGGAAATGATAGACATTGTGGTAGTAGAAGGGGGAAGAATGGGCCTCAGTTTGAATAATGAAAAGACAGAAGTAATGGTGGTATCAAAAAAGAGATTATTCTTAAATGTGTAATAAAAGTCAGTGGTGTTATTTTGGGACAAGTACAGAAATTTAAGTATCTGGGCACATGGATAACTTCAGATGGAAGATGCATTACTGAGATAAAAAAATAAAAGCAAAATAGGACAGGCAAAAACTGTATTTCATAAAATGAAGAACATCTTATGCAATATATCTTTGTTATTAAGAGTTAGAAAAATAATTCTTGCTTGCTACATACATCCAGTTTTAACATATGGCTGTGAGTCCTGGACATTCGGTAGGCAGGCCAAACAATTTCTTGAGGCCTCAGAGATGTGGTTTTACAAAAGAATGCTCAAAATACCTTTGACAGCCAAAAAAAGAGCAACCAAGATGTTTTGAAATAGGCAGTAGCCTGAAGACACAACTTATTACAGACATCAGAGTGAGACAGTCATCATTTTTCAGCCATGTTATGAGAAGATGGAAAATGGAACATGTTCTGACCACTGGAAAGATCTGTGGAAGGAGGGATAGAGGAAGACAGCGAGAGAAGATTCTTGAAAGTCTTGTTGCATGGCATTGAGGGGTGTCAGCAAATGAACTGATACATGCTGCTTGAGATCGAAGATTGTGGAGAGTCATGATCGCCCTCACCACAGTCCTCAAGGCACCCGATGATGATGATATACAGTTAGGTCTCACTGCTCCAGTTGCAATGATATATAGTTGCTAATGGTTTCATTAAGAAATTAAATAGTTATTGCCATAAAATTAATCCGTACATTTTACTGGGCCGCAACTCAGAGTCCATCTTTTGTCAGATTACACTATAGTGATCCGCTACTGAAATGTTAATGTCTACGCTTAGAATTGATCTACAGGCCTCATTGAGATATCTTGGATTGGGCATTTTAATCTATATCTTAAGTAAAAACCCAGTATATAAAACTTGACTAGCCTCCAAAATAATAACAGTAATAATAATAATAATAATAACTATTATTATTGCACACTTAAACGTGGCTTGATCATTGTTTAATTGTGCAAAAATGATAATAACAAGTGTTATTATTATTAGTACAGTTTTTAATTATTAGCAGGGCTTTTTTCTGGGGAAAAAGCTATGGCTACTCGCAACAGTGTCTGATAAAAGGTGCCGGTGCTCACCATAAAGTGTCTGTTGTAGCCGCACTATAAAAGCAATGATGCCTCAAACAGGTGCCGGTACTGCATACTGTTAAGTACAGTCAGAATAAAAAAGCCATGATTATTACAGCCAAGAAGAAAAAAAGCAATGATTGTATTATTAATGTTGTTATTTTTTCATTTTTATTATTGAGTAATTGATTGAGGCCCTCCCCTGTCCCTAGAATAATAATACTAGGCAGCCCCTCTCATTCCCCCCCCCCCCATGTTTTTTGTGTAACGGCGTGCCTGCTGTTTCCCCACTGTTGCCATCACTCTGCTGTAACAACAAAAGGTATAACTGATTTAAGGACTCCTGATTACCTCTACTACTCCTACTATTAGTGCAACAACAGTAACTACTACTACTTCTATGACAGTCAATAACCAGGCTATTGCCATCTGTCTTCCACAGCACAACGCATTCCTGCATGATGCCAAAGAGAAAGAGCCAGAGGTTGTCTTGATAGGTGACTCACTGATTGCCAACTTGTCGCAGTCAATGGTAAGCTTGTTTTATTTTTGTGCGTGTGGCTACTCTCAATAAGTAGTCTCTAGCTTGTGATATTTGTTGTGTTTTTATTGTAGTCTGAGCAAGATTTCTTGATTTCGTTTTTTGTTGTACACTTAATATGTAGTCTAAAGTTTTTTTTTTGTTTGTTGTATGTTTGTTGTACTCTTAACAAGTAGTCTATAGATTGTATTATTTGTTGTATTTCTGTTCTACTTTTAACAAGTATTCTATAATTATTTCTTGTAATACTCTCAACACATTGTAATATTTTGTGATATTTGTTGTGCACTCACCAAGCAATCTAAAGTTTATTGTATGCATATGTGAATTATTTGTGTATTTGTTTGTTTGTTGTATCGTCAGAAGTAGTTCATAGTTTGTAGTTTTGAAATATTTGGTGAATCTTTAGGAGCGGCTGGCTGAGCAGTTACAATATCGGACTCTCATACAGAAGACCGGGGTTCGACCACTGGTAAGGTGATGGAGTTTTCCTGTCAGGGTAGAATCAAAAATCCTAACCTGTACAATTAATGATGACAGCACTAGCCCTGCGGCCTTAAATCATCAGGCTCACGACCCCCTGTCTACACCGCCCTTTAAACAAAAAAGTCCTACATAAGGACAGCAGTGACATTTTTTTTCCTTGGACAATTTTTTTACAGTTGAATCTTTGTAGTTTATATTTGTGTGAGTTCTTTTTCTTTGTACAGTCAAAAAAGTAGTTGATAGTTTGTTATTATTTGTTTTAAGTTTGCTGCACTTTTGTGTACAAAAAGTAGTGAAGGAAGAGTAATACCACTAATGGCATGAGGAGTATATATAGTAGTTTTAGATCCAGTCCCAGTGTATGGATCTATGCCACATAGGTCCAGTTCTTTGCTCCATTTATATTTCATTGTTACTTCCCTTCAAATAGGAAGAAAAAAGGATATATGTGAGTGAAAAAAATGGCTAAATTAATCAAAATTAATATTTGATTGACTTTACGACTGCGACATCACAGTAGACGTCACGCCCCTGGATTTCTCTAAAAACTTACCAAGACTGAAAAATTTCTTCTGCTTCTTTTTTCTTTTCCACTAGTTTCTTAGGCTAGTTTTAATGAAGTTTAAGAATGTGTTTCTTTTTAATGAGATTTGCCAGGAAATATTTTTTTCAAAGTTTCTTACCTGGCGACAGGGTCAAGGGTAAATTATATTTATAAAAATATTTGACAAGGAAAATGAGATGGGGAAGAATACATTCGTTTCTGTACTTTCCTTCTGTTTGTTCATCTCTGGGTCGCTACTTGGAGGTTTGATCAACCTGAGATAACAAAACTTCATTTTGGATGGTAAGCCAACAGGCCAAGTCCCAGATATGGCATTCAACCTCCAAAGAAGATACAATTAGGGCACTTGAAAAGGCAACACCAGGTGTAACTTGCAGTATTGAGTGACTGAAGACCTCATCCGCGCTATATTAATGGTTTTCAGAACCATACAAAGTCTTCTTCTTCTTAGCATTCAGCAGTTGTAAATTCCCGCACAAATTTCTGACTGTTCATCCACTTCTGGACTTTGGTCTTATTCCAGAACTTCAGTGTTACGTGAACATCCATTTCACAGATTTGGCTTATTTATATGGTCTTTGCCTCTCAGACAGATGCACTCTGACTTAGAAGGAAAACCCCCTATTTAGTCACCTTTTTTTTTCTTCCTCTGATAAGTGGTGTTCCCAAGCAGTCACCCATCTAAGTACTAACCACGTCCGACATTGCTTGATTTCGGTGATTGGGCAAGAAGCTGTATGGGGTGGAAAAAGGGGGGGGGGGGGGCTGCTCTTATTTTCCCCAAACATGGGGCCCCAGAACCCACACAGGGACCATACAAAGTGATTCTGTTTTATATGTGCAGCTATGGAAACAGATGTTTGAACCTCTTCACTGCCTCAACTTTGGTATTGGAGGAGACAGAACTCAGCATGTCTTGTGGAGAGTTCTCAATGGAGAATTAGACCAGGTTCAGCCTAAAGTGAGTATACAAAGCTTCTGTTTGCTCTGGTAACACTCTTTTTAAATGAGTTATTATCCCACTTGTTGATAATATCAGTGTTATTAACTCCCTTGTTGATAATAGTGCTTTCATAAAATCTCCCCCCAGGATGATGTCACAGGGCAGTCCAATAGTTTTGAGGGTCATAAGAGCCAGTTTCTCGGCTTTTTTATGATTTTAACTACCCCAAAACATCTTAGAACTGGGTCTAACCTCAACCCACCTACGTTCCACGAGAGAATACAGCCTAGGTCCTACCACTGCATGCAGCCTATCTATCACCCCTAAAATATTTGACTGTTTTTTTTTTGGGGGGGGGGGGGGGAGGAGAGATATTGGTATAGTACCGATAACACTGTTGTTATTATCTTCGTTGTTGATAACATTTTTTTTTTCTCCCTTGTTAATAACACCATTGTAATTATCTCCCATGTTGATAGCGCCAGTTTTAATATCTCCCTTGTTGATAACACCGTTGTTATTATCTCCTTTGTTAACACCATAGTTTCTATTACCCTTGTTGATAACATCAATGTTATTAATAACATACTTATAAAATCTTTTTTATTATAACCAGGGTTTCTGGCAGTATCTTAGGGATGCAGTATTGGCACTTTTTTTTTTTAGTTGTCATTTTTTCTGCACTCCTGTAATAGTCACTTTGTGGGGAATACTGGCACTTTTTTAAACACTTTGTGATGAGTGCTGGCACATTATTTTCTAGAAAGAAAAAAGCCCTAATTATAACCTGTAGTGAATCTTCTTCTTCTTCTTTGTTCACCGGCTGTGAGCTTCGACGGAAAGTCCTGGTTACTCGTCCATTTTGGCTTTGTGCCAGGGCGTGAGTTTTGAATGTGCATCTTTTTTTACTGGCTTATTTATCTGCAGTTGGTTGTTCCTTGCTGATTGTGCAGATACACTCTGACTTTGAAGAAAGCTCCCAATTAATCAACTCTTATGACATGCTTTTTTGTGTGTAGGCAGTGGGTCTATTTTTGTTTTCCCTACAATGGGGCTCCAGAACCTGCACGGGGACCTGTGGTGATAGTACTCTTATTCATATTACTGTGGCCTCTTCCTCATCATCTGTCTCTTTCAACAGCAGGTTGCTTAGTAACCAATATGACTGAATTCTATGGATCATCAAAAACTGTGTTACATGGATCAACATAGTTTATGGGATATACTGCTGTTTGATTCCATCCAAACTGTAACTCCTTGAGCCACTGGATGTCAATCTAGTTGAAGTTAAAGTCCTGGGGGATCGACTTTATTGGACCGGGTTTTATCCCATATGGTTTAATCTCTCTCTGCAGAACATGTGCTGCCTGCTTAGAGTGTTGCATAAAGCATGAAATCCACAGGTCTGGCGATGATCCTCCACCTTTCAGACTGTAATCCCAAAGGGGAAAAAAATTAAGAAGAGAGACTCTTTTCTGTATCTTTCTCCTTTATTTTTGTTTCTTCCACTCTCCTTTCTTCTCCTTTCTTCTCCTCATTTTCCCATAGTTCAGCGATGATATATTTTCCTGTTTTTTCCTCCCTTTTCACATAGCATGGCTTAGAGGTTATTAAACCAGTGAACTTTGACTAAAAAGCTTAACGAAATGGGAAAGTAGAGCAAGGTGCACAAAACAGATCAAATCGACGTTTTGGCTGGGGCCTTTCTCAACATGCAAACTACGTTTGATTGTTGTATAGTTTAGTTCATGTCAAGGAAGGCACCAGCTGAAACATCGATTTGTGTTGTTTTCTGCACCTTGTTCTGCTTACCTATTTCATTAAGCTTTTTAGTCACAGTTCACTGGTTTAATTTCTTGGTATTAACTTGACTGCTGTCACCACTTTTGGGTTAGAGGTTTGTAAAGGCATTTCACAGTTTCATGATCCATGAGTACCAAGGTTTAGTTTCTGCTGTGGACTGTTTATTATTTAATTTAAAAACAAATTATTCTCATGGTTTTCTGACTGTGGCATGAGATTTCCACCATGGAAGAGATTTTGATCCACCACATAATATTCCCAAAGGCTGCTGTGTGTAACCAACCTTCATTGTGGAGATGGCACACACAGTTTCACAAAGTATCTTGATTGTACACATTCTCTGTCTTACCAGGTGATTGTCTTACTGGTCGGCACCAACAACTTTGATGACACTGCCGACCAGGTCACTGAAGGAATTATGGTCATTGTAAAGGCCATCCGAGACAGACAGCCCTCCACGAATCTCATAGTTTTGGTATTATAATGTTCTGTTTGTGTGCTAATCTCATAGTTTTGGTATTATAATGTTCTGTTTCTGTGCTGATCTCATAGTTTTGGTATTATAATGTTCTGTTTGTGTACTAATCTCATAGTTTTGGTATTGTAATATTCTGTTTGTGTGCTAATCTCATAATTTTGGTATTATAATGTTCTGTTTGTGTGCTACTCTCATAGTTTTGGTATTATAATATTCTGTTTGTGTGCTAATCTCATAGTTTTGGTATTATAATATTCTGTTTGTGTGCTAATCTCATAGTTTTGGTATAATAATATTCTGTTTGTGTGCTAATCTCATAGTTTTTGTATTATAATATTCTGTTTGTGTGCTTATCTCATAGTTTTGGTATTATAATATTCTGTTTCTGTGCTAATCTCATAGTTTTGGTATTATAATGTTCTGTTTGTGTGCTAATCTCATAGTTTTGGTATAATAATATTCTTTTTGTGTGCTAATCTCATAGTTTTTGTATTATAATATTCTGTTTGTGTGCTAATCTCATAGTATTGGTATTATAATATTCTGTTTGTGTGCTAATCTCATAGTTTTGGTATTATAATTTTCTGTTTGTGTACTAATCTCATAGTTTTGGTATAATAATGTTCTGTTTGTGTGCTAATCTCATAGTTTTTGTATTATAATATTCTGTTTGTGTGCTAATCTCATAGTTTTGGTATTATAATATTCTGTTTCTGTGCCAATGTCATAGTTTTGGTATTATAATATTCTGTTTGTGTGCTAATCTCATAGTTTTGGTATAATAATATTCTTTTTGTGTGCTAATCTCATAGTTTTTGTATTATAATATTCTGTTTGTGTGCTAATCTCATAGTTTTGGTATTATAATATTCTGTTTGTGTGCTAATCTCATAGTTTTGGTATTATAATTTTCTGTTTGTGTACTAATCTCATAGTTTTGGTATAATAATGTTCTGTTTGTGTGCTAATCTCATAGTTTTGGTATTATAATGTTCTGTATGTGTACTAATCTCATAGTTTTGGTATAATAATATTCTGTTTGTGTGCTAATCTCATAGTTTTGGTATTATAATGTTCTATTTGTGTACTAATCTCTTAGTTTTGGTATTATAATGTTCTGTTTGTGTGCCAATCTCATAGTTTTGGTATTATAATGTTCTGTTTGTGTGACAATCTCATAGTTTTGTTTTAATTACTTGAGCATGCAAAAGAACTGCCAGAACTAATTTTCTACAGCCCCCATGGTGGACTCCAGAAGTAGAACAGGCATGGAAGGCAAAGAGAGCCGCAGTGAAGCAGCTAAAGAAAGTACGACAGACACCATCAAGCTCATGAGAGGAAGTGGAGATGGCGGAGAATGTGAAAAAAGATAAGATGGAGATTTTCAAGCACTGTGCTGCAGAGGCCAAAAGAGCAAAGTGGGAAACTTTTGTGAATGATATGGGAGGCGATAAAACATTAAGGAAATTCTGGAAACTGCAAAGGCAGATGCAAAGAAAAGATCGGCCTATGAACAATTTGTAGAGACGATGGTGTGCGTGTGACAACAGACAAGGAGAAAGGATGTAGACATCAGGGATGCAGTTAGAAAGGAGTTAGCTGGCACCTTAAAGAATAAGCATTATGAAGACATGAACAGGAAAAGAAGAAGTGGTGGGATGCGTCATTAGATCTGTGAAGTTTCAAACTTTGAGTAATATTCTTGTCAGGTAAACAGACCTCTGCATAAAAAGAGAACGAACTATATGGGATTTCCTTGTGGGTTTTGGGACACCATTTATTGGGTGGTGGAACTACTGTCCCCTAACAAGCGTCTTGTAAAAAAGTAACTAATTAGAGCACTGCTGAATTTGGATTTGTTGGGCCAAAAGTTAAGAGACCATATGTCCTGTTTTCATAGGGACAGTCCCGTTTATTTTAGGCTGGTCCCGGCCGCCTCGTCAGTACTCCAAAAACATGTCAGTTGTCCACTTTTACAAACAAAATCTAAGAATGGGTTTGAGAATAGAATGTAGCTATATGTATAGAACTTATTTGTTTTCATAGTTTTAGATACTTTTAATGCCTGAAATGTCATGACGGACATTTTTATTGTGACCTTTTTTTTTTTGATGCAGTTAAAGAGCGTATTGTTTTGTTTTTTGGTGACAGTGATATAGGTTTTAATGCAGTTGTTGATCAAGTAATTAACCCTTTACACTCCTATGACCACACAAAAAAGAAAGGGGGGGGGGAGGGGTGTTGTTAAATTGACTAGCTTTGGATGTCCCGTTTTCAGCTCACAATTTTAATGGGATGTCCCGTTTTCAGCTTAAGATAATATGGTGCTCCTAGCCAAAAGGCAACATGTCAGCCGACCTTATAAGGGTGGACAAAGAAGAACAGAAGCCTTATAGAACAAACTCTGATGCAGTGACATCTCTTCTCTCATTTTTAAACACAGACACTTATGTTTATATTTATAATTTCCTGTGCTACTTTCCACCAGGGATTGTTACCTCGAGGTGAAAAGCCCAATAAGCTACGAGACAAACATTCTGCCATTAACAAACGTCTGGCCGAAGAGTTATCATCCCTGCCCCAGGTCACATTCCTAAAGGTCGATGAGAAGGAGTTTCTGACCAGCGAGGAGACCATCTCCCGAGATGTGATGTACGACTTTCTCCACCTCACATCTGAAGTTGGCTACCAGAAATTATGTGAACCCCTTCTAGAGGAGATACAAAATCTCTTGGGCACATTCATTAAAGTCAGTAGCACATCGTACGAGACTTCCTCCATTGCTGGCGATCTTGCGGGAAACTAACACCATAACGTTGTCATCTTGGGAAACAAAAATACTAATTATTGTATAAAACTATGTTACAATTTGGAATCTGGCTTTTAATTTCTTGTCTTTATTGTAAACTTGAAAGTACCTCTCTGTAGCTGTTGGAACATTGTCATCTGGAAAAACAGAAGGGAGAAAGGTGGCCACCAAAAATAAAAGTTTGAGATGACATTGAAGAAAAGATGAACATACACAGAAGGCTACTAGTGTGTCTTTAACCTTGTGCATACATTAGGATTGTCATTTTTCAATTTAAGGACTTGTAAATTTTAGTGTTTGGTCCAGATTGTTCCATCTTAAGCCAGTGCCACAGTGATTAGTTATCAGTAAGGACGATCATCACAGCACTCTGGACAGATCTGTAGGTGCTCCAAACTCATCATCAGTATCTCCACAAAAGTAAACGAATTGTCATGCCTGTTCAATCGGACGTCTAAATGATACATGTTTCAATCTGACCAAAGGATAAACCACCATGAATCAGAATTGACAATTAGGATACGGAGATTAAAAGTAACAGAGAGAGCCACTGTAGCATGGTGGCTACACTGAAGGTCCAGGGTTGAGTTCTGTGTTCATGCAGATTATTTTCAAAATAACCTTGGCTGTCAGGTCTCCTAACCTTCACTGGAAATAAAGGCAGCCACTGTGATGTTCATCACATTACCCGACTGGTGCTGTGCCAATGTGTTAATAAAAGTATGAGTAGCATCATATGCTGGTGTACTAAAAAAAAAAAAAAAAAGAGTAGCAGAAGGTTTCCATAGCAGATTGGTCAAGTAGCTTGCCTCATTATAAAAGCCTGACTTATAAGAATAAGATAGATCCAGAAGCAAACCCTCAGCAAGAGGATATAATTGAGTTGATATTTGTTGACGATCATGCCCGATTATACAAAGATAATGATAACCTCCAACACCATATCAATAGCCTCAATACCTTTGCAAGAAATGTAATATGAAAATAATTACCGGAAAAAACCCACAAATAATGCAGTAAAAAAAATACCAGTTTGAAGTTTTGAACAACGGATCAACATCATGGCACAAGGATAATAACTCATAAGTGCTCCGTTCTTCTTCTAACTCAAGTATGAGTCTGAAAAAGCTCAGCACAGTGCACAGGCTCTGTAGCACCGGCGAGGATCCTGAAATACTTTGGGTAGATTTTTAACTCTAAATTTTACCTAGGCGGCACCATTAAGCTACCTTTTTCGATTTCCAGCTGCCAAGGGATTTTTTATGTGCGCAACAATGCACACGGGCGTCCGATCTCACTACCCAGAGACCAGGGGGAATTACCAGAAGCCCAAGTCCACGTGAACAAATCCCAGCCCTTACCGGGGATTGAACCCAGACTCTAAATGGAGATAACACCAGTTCAACATATCCTCACAGTTGAAAGAGAGACATTAAAACAAGCAAAGGAGTTTAAGTACCTATTCAGTGAATTCACTGAAGATGGAGACTTGGACAGAGAATTATAAAACATAAGGCCAGTAAATTACCAAATAGCACCAGCATAGAAACACAGTATGATAAAAAAAACTACACAACTACCAAAAGTCATGCAGCTACAGCTAACACCTCTCTGTGATGTTTTATGGCAGGGCTTTACAGCTAAGTTTACCCAGGGGCCACAGTTTTAAAAATGGAGATAGTCACAGGGCAAAATGCCAGGCCCCAGCATAGATAGATCATTTAACACCAAACAACTGGCAGTGATCTGTGGGCCACTTGCTTGTTTTCAGTGGGCCAGATTTGACCCACAGGCCGCCAATTGAATAGCCCTGCTTTTTTTCATCATAAGACCAAAAAAGAAAGGAGAAGATACAAGTCGTGGGTTTTAGCCATCACAGATCCTTTGTATTGTTGAGGAAAAAACAAGTCGCTGAGGTATTCTAGATCCTTTTTGTAGCCTGAAAATGTGAGTGCCCCTGCCAAAAGACATTCCTCTGATCTATGTGTTGGGACCATGTTGTCATGAGAAACATTTGCTAGTAGCAAGAGGATGCCAGAGATTCAAGTTTGTATAAATATAAATATGAGATTTTGCTGTGTGGGCCTGCTAATTCATCACATTGTCATTATGTTTCATAGTCACAACCTCTCTCTAAGAGAATGCTTTGTGAATCAGGTGTCTCTAGAGAATGGTTGTTAAATTTAAAGTGTTTTAAAATGATTTTTAGGTGGCGAGTCTATCTTAAAGTGTCATTGATTTGGTGTTGGTGTTCATAAAGTGTCATAATTATGCCAGGCAGTTATAGAGACAGAAGACTTCTGTCTAATGATTTTGTCAGTATTTTTATAAAATGAAGAACAATTTGTACAACACATCTCACATGCTGTTTAAAGCCACTTTTAATTTAAGGCTGTGAATCGTGGATAAACTGCAAACAAGCTTATCAGCTGAGTCAAGAATTGACATCACAGCACTCGAGGCATTCCCATATGCACTCCATCCTTATCTTCACCAGCCAGTACAGAGTTCCACTACTATTTGTACCGGTCGGAGTCTGGTTATGTGTCCGTCTTGCCTTTCCTTTAAGTGTAGGGAGCTGGCGAGACCTTCTGGTCACACCCAGGTGCATAATTTTCTCTAGGCCATAGTAATCTGATTTCTTATCTGACTTCGGGTCTTGACGACATCTGCCTTGTCATGTATCAATTGATCGAGCCAATCTGACTGCCGGTTCATTCCCCATCACGCCAGCATGGCCTGGAGAAAAAAGCTAAACAGAAATGTGGCTTTACGGAAGGTTTAAAATTCCTTGGACAATTAAAAAAAAAACACACAAGATGTTTTGTAAGAGACGAGGACCCAAACACAAACATCAGGAGACTGTCATCAGTATTTGGCCATGTTATGAGAAGAAAGAAACTGGAACATGTAGTGACAACTGTAAAGATTTGTAGAAGAGAAATAGAGGAAGTCAATGCGAGAAGATTCTTGACAGTCCTTTGTCGTGACATGGAAGGGTGTTAACACATGAGCTGATGAATGCTGTTGGAGATAGCAGGTTGTGGAGAGTCATGATTGCCGACACCAGCCGGCAGACTTGTAAAGATAATAATGAATGTTTATAACACAGTTTATGATTCGAAGGTCTGTAAATTGTTTAGTTATACACAGATATTCTTCTCTACCACTAATGTTATTTCTCATCTCAGCCATCTTTGTTTCCTTTTCTTTTACCTCCTCCATCTGATTTTTGCTTCTCCCACCTGCCTTCTTCTCTTCCAGTTCCACTTCTTGTTCCCTCTCCACCTTCTTTTTCTTTCTCTTCTTTTTCCTTCTACTGCTTTTTTTCCTCTTCTTTTTCTCACTGACTTCCATCACTCTTATTCTCAAGCCTTATTGGCCTACAAATGTCTTATATATGTCAGTGCCTTGATACAAGACGACCTTCAAGAATCTTCTCTTTCTCTGGCATTGTAAATCTCTGCCCCCCCCCCCCCCTCTCTTCCCCACACCTTTAACTGGTTTTTTAATATATTCCTTTTCTTCTATAATCATGAGCTAGCCACAGAACATTTACTGTCTTCTGTTTCATGTGGCAAATTTCCTTTACATCATCCTCTTTCTTCTTAGTGTTCACTGACTGTAAACTCTAGCAGAAAGTTCTGGTTGTTTGTCCACTTCTAGACTTTGGTCTTGATCCAAAAATTGAGTTTTGTTTGCATGTTAGTTTTAGAGATCTGACTTATTTGTATGCAGACTGTTGGTTTCCCGCCTATCAGGCTGATTCACTTGACTTCAGAGGAAACACGTCTAATTATCGCCTTCAGAGTTCTGTTCCTTGTGTCCCCTCTTTGACATCAATATCTGTTCTTATTGCACCTGTGCTCTTTTCTGCAGTTGTGCACAATTTATTTTCTGTAGCTTCACAGACTGTCTTCTTCCACTTTTTCTTTTCTGTGGTGTGTTAAAAAATGAGCAGGCAGAAAGACTGGCTGGTTCTGTCCCATTTGGTGGTGAATTGATGTATGAGAAGCTAGATGTTGTGAGGGTTCTTTGGGAACAACAGAACAGTGAGGAGGCACAAATAGATCATTAGGGTCTGAGGAGAATTGCGCTGCAGGGATATACCATTAGATCTGGCTGAAGCTCAACATTCAAGGGAAAGGCAAGATGGATGTACAATCATATAGTTACTGGTACCATTGGATTTTGAACTCTTCACTTGCTGCTGAAGATGGGGATGGAGCACTTATGGAAGAGCCCTGAGTGCTATGTTGTAGTTTCTTAATTCAACATTCTTCTTCTTATTCCTCCTCCTACTCCTCTTCTTCCGCTCTTTATACCCCAGGATTATCTTGCATGTTCATAAATTGGCCATGATTCACATCCACAGTTAAATTGGATTCTGTGATGTTTTCCAGGCTTTCCTCGATAATACCAGTTCATTTAAAAGCGGTGTCATTATTGTTACCCATGTCATCACAGACCTAGCTTTATGACTGTCTTTGCACTTATTCTTGGGGAATTATTGTGGTGGTTTTCCCTAGTATTCCACTTCTGCAAACTTGATTTGCATGCTATGCTGTAAATATTTATTTGGTGTTTATTGCATTTATAATAACTGATAAATTTGATATTTATTCATAAAATGTGTATTTGGCTCAGTCACAGAGTGCTAAGTGTTTCAAAAAGGATATTGGTATTTAAGGGGGTTGCCAGCATGCTGTGTTTGTAGTAATATGGCTCATGTTTTCCTGTGTGGGTTCTGGCACCCAAGTCTGGGGCCAAAAAGAATTAACCTATGCTCCCATAATAAGAATGCTTTAACCCTTTCACCCCTTCCCCAAAAAAAGGTAATGATCTCCAGAAAAAAAATGTGAAAACGGTTTACTCAGGTCAGTAATACATTTGTTAAAATGAATTCATCTACATTTAAAAATTATTTTTTTGAAAGATTTAAAGATATATGAAAGGAGTAATCTTCTTCTTCTTCTTTGTGTTCACTGGCTATAAAC